ACACGAGGAGGGAGTAGACCACCCCTACCACGCGCTGAGGCGCGGACGGTTACGGTCGACACCACACACACACCCACTCCCAGGGAGCCGAGCTACACACACACACACACACACACACACACACACTCCCAGAGTGAGGAGCCAAGCAGCCTTCCCGCTGGTGGGAGCCACCTCCCTGGCCTTCCTGAGCCCCCCGTGGGCTCCTGGAAGGGAGGCCAGCGAGACGCCCTGGTGCAGGCAGCCAGCTCTGGATGGGTGTGCGGGTGTGAAGGCTCTGTTTTACGTTCCAGGTTCAGAATCACGTTCCACAAGCAGTGGAGTCAGCGCTTAATGATCTGATGTAACAAGCAGGCTCAAAAGGGTTTATTGGCAAAGAAATCATTCAGTGTGCCATCGATTCTGGATCCAACAGGAATTTTCATTGTTATTCTTGAGTTTATTGATGATAGCTGTGATCTTCTTTCATTCTTAAAAACAAAAAAATGTTACGTTCAGGGTAAATGTGGGAGAAACTTCATGTAATCAGAACTAAGACAAAAGAGTGCTTAAAGTATTAGAAAATTAGTTTCAGTGTCCTGAGGACGTAAAATTGTGAAAACAAATAGCCTGACTGTTTTTATGCTACTGGTGTACATTTACCAATGATGTAGTAATTAAAGATTTTTCAGGTTTTTTAAAATCATAATAGAGGAAAGGGCTGGATCATACCACCCTAGAATAAGAAATAATTCACGGCCATAAGACTTTAAAAAGCTGATGCTTGAGAGTGTCAGATCATACTGTTATTATGTATGGGGTTCAGAATTCTCAGAAGGAGCCAAACCATTTGCATTTCCTCCTTTTAGCATTGTGCCTAGGTAGAAAATGAAGAATGCGTGTGAATGGTTCCATAGTATAAGGAATTGTGCCCAGACTTTGTGATCAAAGGCTGGTAGACATATTCTCTGAAGCAGTTTTATACAAGGTCATTACAGCATTCATGAGAAATAGTTAAAGAGCCACTCTGTCGTTTTAAAGGGGGAAATTCATGTTTAAAAGCAAACTTATATGTGTTCATCTAAGCCGGTTTTCTAAGTTACTGCAGTCTCAGTATCGTACAAG